AAAAAAAAAAAGGTCCCTTCCAACTCTGTTATTCTATTCCATGCTGTTGTTCTTCTGTCCTTCCCTCCCTTCTACTTTGTTGAACTCCCTGGGAGGACAACCTGGTGCATTTTGGGAACCTAACCAGAGATCTGATTCACCCCTGCATGCACATAGAGGAAAGTCTAGCTGAGAATCGTGAAGAAAGCAAAGAAAGTGGAGGGTCCCCGCAGAGCCTGCCATGATCCCCCCTTGAGCTGCAGCCCCCCAAGACTGGAAGGACTCCCCCTCCCCACGTCCACTTTCACTTTCCGTCTCTGCGCCGAACTACCTCCTTCAGTTGAAGTCACAAAGGACTCTGCCCGGAGACTGATGACGCTCAAGCAGGGAGATTTCCAATTGGTGCTTCAGCTCGTTCTGGCCCCACCCAGCTCAAAAGTCCGAGGAAACACAGAGAGAGAGACAAAGAGACATACAAATACAAACACACACGCACACAAAAATGTTCATTTCATGGGTAGATTCTTCCGTGGGAAGAGCTGTTGCACTGCATGACAAGGGTGGAGGGAGAGAGGTAGCGAGGGGAAGTCGGGGATCACCCACAGACACCCCCCAAACGGGAGGGAATCCCCGGGAAACCCTCCGCTAAACCAGGAAGAGGCGCCGCTTCGCTTCCGGGCAGAAAAAGGCGATTCCCCTCCCTGAAACCCGTGTCTCCCTTGCTCGGAACGTCTGGACGCAGTGGCTCCTTCCGGTCTCCCGCCCCTCCAACCCCCCCCCCCACTTCCTACTGTGGGTCAGGAGGACCCCACTTTTCCTCACAAACCGCCCCGAACGGAGATCCCGAACTGAAGTTTGGCCGTTTCTCCTCCGCTTCCCGCTCCTTTCCTTGGAGAACTCCGACAGGGGTTGGACTAGATGACCTCCAGGGTCTCTCCCAACTCTGTTAATCTGCTATCTGGCCACCATCTCAAGCTAAGAATCTATATACTTTTTTTCTGCAGAAAAACAACATACGTACAAAGTAAAACACGTTGGAAGGAATTTCGTCCGTATTGAAGGGCGGATCCGGAGCTTTTTTCCCGGGAATGTCCGCCTCTTTCGGCCGTGGAGCAAGAAGAGCCCCTGAACCAAAAGGCTCCTTTTTATTCCCTTTTCACTCCCGAGACTCTCGGAGGAAGGAAACGCAGCCCCCCCCCCAAAAAAAGCCCCCCTTCTCCGCCTCCCAAAAGGAACCGAGGAACCCAGAAAAGAAACGCAGGAACCGCTGGAGGTGAAGAGGGGGGGGAAGCCGCCATCTCGGTGCCCCCCCGCCGCCCCCCACCCCGAGGCTGCCGGACAAGAGCCGCAAAGCAAAGCGGCGCCTGGCTGGGCTTGGAGGGCAGGAGAAACTTCGGCTCTCGCCTCGGATGGCCGCGGTGGTTGCCTGAGGCGGCCGAGGAGACCCGGGATGCGGAGAGAAGAAGGGCCTTTCTCTGAGGGGAACCGCGGCTTTTCAGCCCTGACCGCCTCCTCGGAGGACGAAACGCCCTCCGGATCTCCAGATGCGGCGAAAACGGCAGGAAAATACTCGGCTCGCCCGGCTCCTTTTCCGGCTGCCCCAGGAGAGGATTTGGGGGCTGCCCCAGAGGAGAGAGAGGGGGCCAAGCTCCCCTCCGAAGCCCCGGAAGACGAGAAGCAACGGGTGGGAGACTCTGCGCGGAGAGAGAAGCGACGGAGAACTGGAGAGAAACTTCCTGACAGGGAGGACAATCAGCCGGTGGGACTCCTGGCCACCAGAAGTTGTGGGCGCTTCGTCACTGGAGGCCCTGAAGAAGAGACCGGGCAGGCCCTTGTCTGGAATGCTGGAGGTTCTCCTACCTGAGGAGGGGGGTGGACTAGAAGACCTCCAAGGTCCCTTCCAGCTCTGTTCTCTTCTAACTGCAGGCTGTTCGTGGTTCTGCCCCGTCAATAAACCTCTTTCCTTAAAGCAGCCTCCATTTTCTCCCCTTGGACCTAAATCATTCTTCCGACACTTTCATGGGGAACCCACGGCTGGCAGCTCTGCAACTGAAGAGATTGAATGTGAGGGGAATCGCGCAGCTGCTGCCCAAAGAAAGCGGGAGACACTGAGACAAACTTGTATTTTATATCAGTATCAATGAATTTAACAGGCGCAGCAGACAAGACAGAGAGGAAAATCCTGAGGTAAATCTCAAACAGCCCAGAGAAGAAAAAGGCGGGGAAAAGGGAAACGCCCCCTTTCCACCCGCAGCAACCAATCAGAGCGCGGATCCCCTCAGGCGGGAGCCCGGCCTCACTCGGCCACAACGGGGTGTTTTGGGCCTTTGTACGCTTTCCTTCTGCAGCCATTAAATGGGATATTTAAAGTTTAAAGGGTTCAAAATAAAGACCCAAACTGACTTTGCTTTTATCTATTAGATTGAATTATCAAGCTGGAATGCACTGTGCTAAAAAGAAGTAAACATCTTTTCCCCCTTTTTTTCTCTTGTACCTCAGACTTTCTTTCCCCCCCTTTCTGCTTCCCTTAATTTCCTATTACTATTTTTCTTTGTGTTTGCTATGATAAATAAATAAGAGCTTGAGACTCCAGAAAGAGTGCAGAGAAGAGCAACAAAGATGTAGGCTAAAAGCTTTTTTAAAAAAAACGGTTGCTAGAACTGGGTGTGTCTGGTCTGAGGAAAAGGACGAATGGAGACATGGTGGCATCTTCCAATATCAGGGTTTTCCACAAAAAGATTTCTCTAAACAAATATATAAGCAGACCTAATGAAAGAGACGGAGGTGGAGTTGCACTTTATATAAAAGGGGGAAAAGAAGCACAGACGTCGAAGCCCTTTGTCTGACAGGGAGCCATGGAGAGGGGGACCTTTCCCCCTACTCCCAAGCCCATCATCCCCGCCCTCTCCCTTCCCCCTCCCGTGCGCTCCTCTTTCCCGCCCTTTCTACCATCCTGGCACCTTGCCCAGATCCCCTCGGATCCGCCTAGGGAAGGGAACTCCTGGCGCTTCCCCATTGGGCCACTGGAGGGCGAACTTTCCAGAGAAGGAGGCATTAAAGGAAGTGACCTCAATAAGCCTTTCCTCTCTAGGACGCCGCACTCGCTCTCTTCAACCCCTGGGACGCTGCGGCAGTTGGAGAGGCTGCAGGAGAGTCTGGTGGGAGGACATCCACACGTGACCCGGGTGAGCGGGGGGGCTCTTCGTGGGTCCTTTGCTCCCCAGCCGCCCTCTCCATGCGAAGTGTGGGGGAGATGGGTCTGGCGGTGGCCCAGCAGGAGACGAGAGAAGCCGGGCGGGGAGGAGGAGGAGGAGTCAGGTTTCGCACCGGGCCCCCGAGGTCGCGATCCTGTCTCCCGAGGGGGGTAGAATCGGGGGTGGCGGCCTGACCAGCTGCCTCCTTCCCGGCCTTGCTCGGGGGACCCTGGGCCCTGCGCTGGGAGGAGCCGCTTGGGGGAAGGGGGTCCAGGGGCTGAATCCCCCTTTCTGATCCTGGGCGTCGTTTTTTCTCTCCCTCCCAGATCCGGAATCTCGAAGCCCGCGGAAGCTGTTGCAAGCCAGGATTTCCTCTGCGGGGGAAGGAAGGAAACAAGCAGAAGGACCCGCAGGGATCTGTCCTGCGGCCCCAGAAATGGTTCCGTGAAAGAAGAGGCCCCTGGAGACCCCCCAGAGTCCCTGGAGCCCTTTGGAGTTGCTCTGCCAGAGAGAGGAAGGATGGAGACACCCCCTTTGGCCAAGGAGGGGAGCGGAAAAGACCCCTCAGCTCTTCAGCCTGTGAGCTGTGGGGAGAGCTGGACCAGAACCGGGCAGAAGGTCCTGCAGGAGGGAACCATCCTCCCTTCAGAAGTTCCACCCTGGATCTCCATCCAATACCGGGAGGCTGAGGGTCCCCGAGAACTTTGCAGCCGACTCCATAACTTGTGCAGGCGATGGCTGAACCCAGGAAAGCACAGCAAAGCCCAGATGCTGGACCTGGTGGTTCTGGAACATCTCCTGTTCCTCCTGCCCCCAGAGATAGAGGGCTGGGTGCGGGAGTGTGGAGCAGAGAGCAGCTCCCAGGCGGTGGCCCTGGCGGAAGGCTTCCTTCTGAGCCAGGCGGAAGAGCAGAAGGAGCAGCTCCAGTGTCAGGTGGGAGACTTTAGGGAGCTCGGAAGGGAATAACTAGAGAAAGTGTTTGAAAGCTTCACCCCTCCTTCCCAAACTTCTCCCACATTCATAATATGTGGCAATTCACCAGTTCTTCTAGAAGCCTCTGTGGAGCAGTGGTTAGAGTGCACTACTGCAAGCTGCTTCTGCAGCCAGCTGCCTACAGGTTGGCAGTTCAAACCCCACCAGGCTCAAGGTTGACTTTCCATTCTTCCGAGGTGGGTAAAATGAGGACCCAAATTGTTGGGGCAATATGCTGACTCTGTAAACCACTTAGAGAAAAACACTATAGAACAATATATAAATCTAAGTGCTATTGTTCCATTGTTAGGTTGTGAATACAAGAAACCACTTTGTGTCGTGTGATGTACATTAATTCTGCTTCTTCCTTCCTCCTACTTGAAGAGCTCCACTGTGGAGATCAGAGATGCTGAGGGAAAGAAGAACCCATCAAATCCCCCTCAGGAGCCATTTTTCAGGAGGATCCCTTGGGAAGATCCAAGTCAGGACCCCTCAGGAGGTAATGGAAGATCCTCTGATTACCCATCTGTTTTACCTTCTCTCTCTCTTCTCGCCTATAGAACAGGGGTTGCCAACCTTTTAGACCTCAAGGACCCCCAAACTCATAATTTTAAATCCCAGGGACCACTAACCAATTCTGTGGGCATGGTCTAGTTTGTGGGTGTGGCTTGGTGGTCATGTGACTGGCTGGGCATGGCTTGTATGTAAATATTATAAATATTTATATAAATATTGATTTTTTTTTATTAAAAGAGCAACTTTTACCCAAAATCAGGCAAAGCAGGCAGGCAGATTGAGTTGCTCACAGAATCGTTCAGTGATCTATTTATCTGCCACTGGCTGGCTCAATCTGTCATATAAAATTTGCTTGCTGTGAGTCTGCACTGAATAATAGAAACTTCAGTCCTAAAGAAGGTTCGACTGTGCTTAAAGCAGACCCAAAGATCTAAGGACTAGCTAGAAAACAAGAAATCCAACCATTTCCTGCTTCCTAGCTAATCTAAATCTCCCCGCACAGCAGAACAGCTGATGGTCCCAAAAGTAGCAATTTAGCAGGCAAGTTTGCTGGGTAAGGAGTGAGTGGTTGAGGAGGGTTCCCATGGGCCATGTGGGTGGCGTAGCCTTGTGTTTCCGCACAGCCTGGATTAACTGCTTTGGGAGGGGGGGTGCTCTGGGGCTGAGATTTCTCTGCGGCCCACTGGTTGGCGACCACTGGTATAGAATGCCTTCTCCTATTTTGTTAATTATGCATTTGGAAATTATTCCTTACAGAGAAACAAAGAATGAAGCTTTTTGGTTCTTATGATGGCAATCAAACAGCGGTTGAACCTCCAACTCAAGTAAGAAAGGAAAAAGAGATTTGTATTCTCCCTTCAGAAGTGAGGCGGGTGTGCAGAGGGCTCTCTCCTTCTGTTTTCCCCGCTTCTTTGTCCTGGATTATTTTCATGTTCTTCCACAACATGGAAAGCAGAATTGCAGGTTCAAGTTGCTGTCAGCCAGCATAGCTTCCTCTGGTTATCTTGTTGGGCTAGGTTCTTCTCCAACTTGGAGTTTACAAGAAATAATTTTTTAAAAAGTCCTTCAAGAAGTAGGAATAAACCTATCACAGTTGCAGGAACTGCTAAAGATCCCCCCCCCCTTTTTTTTCTTTGACTCGGAATTTTGAAAGGCTTATGAAAAATAAATACATTCCCACATTACCCTTTTTAAAAAGCCTTATTTATAACCTGTCGTTCTAAATTAAGCAAATCGTAATAAAAAATAAAGCCGACTATTAAAATCCAAAGGGAGTGGCTGTGTTGAGCCTATAATCATGGTACTTTGGGCTACAAAATAATATCCAGAACTCTGATTTACGCCTCGATTAAGAGAGCAAACCTTCCCATTTTTGCAATGGCTGAAAAATGACTTTCGCAGGGAATTTTCTTTGTTCTCTTCTGCTCAGCCAATAACTCAGATTACTAGGTCAATCAATGCTAGATAAGGCGACAGATCAGTTGATCCAGAAGTGGGATTACTTTGCTGAAAAGCACTGAAGTTTTGCAGAATCAATGAACTTGATAAAATCTTCCCCAAATATTTCTTCTGTGAAAGCAATTTTCAGAGTTGCCCATTTTCTCACCTAAAATTAGGACTTGTGTGACGCACAGCCATTTAACTTAATGTATATTTCTGATTTGGGAACAATGGAACAGAATAACAGAGTTGATAGGTATCTTGAGGTCTTCTAGTCCAAGGATCACCAACTTCTGGACTTCAGGGACCACGAAACTCATAATTTTAAATCCCGTGGACCACTAATATGAATTTTGACTGACAAGATTCCCCCTCCCCCCCCATTGGTCTTACCTTCCAGTTCCAGTTTGCTTGGTCTACTCAAGTAAGCTTTGTGGTTTGCTGAAGGGTGGGGGCCAGCGGGTACTTTGCGGGGCGACATTTTTCTGCAAACCACCAAAATTTTCTCACAGACCATCAGTAGTCCCCAGCCTACTGGTTGGCGACCACTGTTCTAGTCCAACCCCCTGCTCAGACAGGAAGTCCTATAACATTTTAGATAAATAGCTGTCCAGTTTCTTCATAAACACCTCCAGTGTTGGAGCATCCACAATTTCTGGAGGGAAGTCATTCCACGGATTAATTGTTCCCACTGTCAGGAAATTTCTCTTTAGTTGCAGGTTGGTTTTCTCCTTGAATAGTTTCCATCTGTTGCTTCTTGGAACACTGCTATCATGTAAACCACCTCATCCTTCTTTTCATGAAACTGGACATACCCAATTCCAGCAACCGTTGTTTATATGTTTTAGCCTCCAGACCACTAATAGGTTTTGTTGCTCTTCTCTGCACTCTTTCTAGAGTCCCAAGACCTTTTTTACATCTGGCAAGAAAACTGGATGCAATATTCCAAGTGTGGTCTTACCAAGGCATTATAAAGTGGTATTAACACTTCATGTCATCTTGATTCTATCCCTCTTAATGCAGCCTATGACTCTGTTGAAGGTTTTTGGGGGGGCAACTGAAGCATAGTGCTGGCCCAGGTTTAACTGGTTGTCCACTAGGACTCCAAGATCCCTGTTGCACTTACTACTGTTGAGCCAGGTATCATCTATTCCAGTGCATTTGGTTTTTCTTTCCTAAATGTAGAACCTTACATTTCTCACTGTTGATTTCATTTTGTTAGATGGGGCCCAAACTGTCGATCCTTCTGTATCTCGAGCTTATCTTCTGGAGTGCTGGTTTTCCTGTCAGTCTCGTCTTGTCTGAAAATTTGATGAGTTCCCCTTCTATCCCCTTGTCTAAATGAATGATGGAGATGAACAGATCTTGTGAATCCTCCTGTTCTGTTCTTTTTTCCATGTCGAGGAGGGTCTGGTGTCCTTCGAGGAGGTGGCTGTGTATTTCTCTGAGGAGGAATGGTCTCAGCTGGATCCTGACCAGAAAGCGCTGCATTCGGAAGTCATGCTTGAAAACCATAGGAACGTGGTCTCTCTGGGTAAGAGTTTTCTAGTCCCAATCAAGAAGAGAGAGTATAGTTAGCTGTTTATTAAAATACCACTGATCAGATATCATCTCCTGGGAGGGAAAAGAAAAGGATCTGGCCTTGTGGTGCTAAAGTACTTTAGATCTCCTGTGATCTTCTGTGCGAACCGATGCCTGTACCAGATCTGGCCAAAGAGCCCTTACAAGCTGATGAGACTTTGGGGTGGCAAAATAGCCATTCTTGAAGCATCCCAACCTTTCCAGTCTCTTCTCCAAAACCACATCGCTGGGATTGAGGAACAGGCCAAATGGGGGTCCAGACAGACAGACTCTGTCGAGTAGCTGCTCCAAGATACACTGGGGCAGAAGGAGCTTGTTTCAAAATTGTTTCATTTCTCACAGGTCTCTGCTGAAAGTAACCCACCCCAATAAAACTTAAGTTTTCTCCTAATTCCTCCTTGGATATTTCCCCTGATTATTCCTTAACTCAAAACTGACTCTGAGTCAGATTTGCATATATAGAGATAATTGTAAAGTACGAGACATTTTCAAAGCTTTCAGGACTCATGAATATAGAAATCATGATGTCTATATCACACCACTGTAGGCATGCAAAAACATACAATCTAATGGAATTTCAGAGAAATTCAAAAGGAAATTCACTTGACTTTCTACACTTTGGTCTTTTTCTCTAACCTTGTTATCATTTCATTTCCCTTTTGCTTTGAAGGTAATAATGGGCTGGAAAATCAAGATTCCTGTGAACTGTTCCAAGTGATCAATGCTAAAGATGGAACGGAGAAGTTTGAAATTCGAATGGAATTCGAAAGCCATGAGAGAAATCAGTCAAAGAATTGCAACCAGAAAAGCTCATCTTCCATTGATGCTCTGATGCAAAACAAAGGAGATGATGCTATAAGAAGACACAATGGACAAAATTACAATGGGACATTCATTCTTTGCCTTGGGAATAACTTCTTTAAATCTCAAAAAGTGATTGACACAAAAGAGAAGCCTTATAAATGTTTGGAATGTGGAAAATGTTTTAGAAGAAACAGGGAATTTACTATCCATAAAAGGATCCACACAGGGGGGAAGCCATACAAATGCATGGAGTGTGGAAAGACCTTTGCTCATGGCAGCGGACTTACTATCCATGAAAGGATCCACACAGGGGAGAAACCATTTAAATGCATGGAGTGTGGAAAGACCTTTAGTCGAAGAAATAATCTTATTTCCCATAAAATGTCTCACACAGGGGCGAAGCCGTTTAAATGCATGGAATGTGGAAAGACCTTTAATTATAGAAGTAATCTTATTTCCCATGAAAGGATCCACACAGGGGAGAAGCCGTTTAAATGCATGGAGTGTGGAAAGACCTTTTCTCGGAGCAGTGGCCTTAGAAGCCACAAAAATATTCACTCAGGAGAGAAACCATATAAATGCATGGAGTGTGGAAAGACCTTTGCTCATGACAGTTATTTTAAAAGGCACAAAATGATGCACGCTGGAGAGAAATCATTTAAATGCATGGACTGTGGAAAGACCTTTGCTCAAAGAGGTCATCTTATTTCCCATAAAAGAACCCACACAGGGGAGAAACCATTCAAATGCATGGAGTGTGGAAAGACCTTTGCTTGGAGCAGTAGCCTTCGAAGCCACAAAAATATTCACTCAAGAGAAACCATATAGATTGAAAAGAAAGGAAAAAGAAAGAAAAAGAAAGAAGGAAAATTA